TGTTCTTGGTGTCGATAAGCTTCAAAAATGTACAATATTACATTGATTGTCATATGATTTGTATTACACCATATAAATACAGTATCTAAATGGCTTGTAAATCCTGCTCATTTTTTGCTAAAAGTACTACATCATCAGCATATAATAAAATTGATAAGAAATTACCCTCTTCAAGTTCTATTCCTAGACCTTGAGACTTTATGTTTACAGCCAGATCATTTATATAGCAGTTAAATAACACAGGGGATAAAATGCCTCCTTGACGTTATCCCAAATTAACATCAACCCACTTCGAAGTGTAACCATTCAGTCTTATACATGAACTTACACAAGAATATAGAGACTTAATAACATTTAACATTTTACAATTCAATCCCATCTTAAATAAATGTTCCCATAATATTGAACGGTCAACCGTGTCATAAGCCTTTTTAAAATCTATAAACGCAGTAAAAGTGCTGAGTTTCTGTTTTAATCTAGTTTCTATAATAGATGTGATACTTGATAAATTGTCCCCAGTACTACGCTTCTTACGAAAGACATTTTGCTCATCTACCAATTTGGAGTTATCCTCTAACCATGATGATAACTGTTCGAGCAATATAGCTTGTACATAGTAGGTGCTAAAGTTATACCCCTATAATTTAACGGATTCAAAGGATCTGTTATATTAGATTTTGGGATGGGATTTATAATGCCTTTTCCCCAGTCTTTAGGTATTTGACCAGTTTCAAAACATACATTAAACAGTACATGCAAGAATGAAACTGCAGTATCATGTTTAAAAGCTTCATATGGTATGTTATCAACACCACAAGCTTAACGGAAATCAGCTTTATCTGTGGCTTTTTGTACTTCATTTACTGAAATAATATTGTCTAGCTGTGGGATATAACTGTTATGATCTGTCTGAACGTCTCTTTGACGATTAACACAAGATCCATCAGCAGAGGAACCATTCAAGAGATCTTTAAAACTATCTTTCCAATAATCTAAAACTTTGTCTTGATCTGTAACTAATACTCCTTTGTCATCAACAAACTCAAATGGAATGTTGTGTGTTTTTGTTTTAGATATACCAACTTTACCAATTGTTTTCCAAAACCTGTTTTGGTCACATTCTTCATAGTTAAGTAGTTCTCCCTGCTGTTGGAACCAGTATTTTCTTTTAGTTTTTTGTACCTCTCTATCAAAAAGTTTTCTACAGTTTCTATATATACAATTCAGCTCTTTCCTTCTACTGTTAGATTTACGACATAGCCAGTCTTTTTCTGATTTACAAACATTGTTTCATAACAAACTTAAATCATCATTCCACCATGGTTTCCCGACCCTTCTCTTTTTATTCATTTGAGAACAGTTGTCTTAAAACAAAACGTTTACAAGACAGTTTATCATGCATATCATTTTCAATAGTATTACAGAGTGTCTCGTATGCATTATCAATATCACACTGTGTTCGTAGCCCTTGTTCCAACTGGTGGACTGACTCAAATAAGTCCGATACTACTTTTTGATCTTGTAAAAAGTTACCTGGAATATTTTGGAAATCAAACTTAGATTCATGTATTTCATGATTATTCTTTGAATCAACTCTTGAAAAATTATAAAGAATATTCCACTGCAAAAGAGAATGGTCGGGAACTCCAGTTGGTTGTACAAAATTTGCATAATTTACTAAATCTGAAGAACGTACAACTTCAAAATCAGAATACATATACAAATCATCATGACTAATAAGACAAAAGTCAACCACTGAACGACCTTGTGGTTTAATGCAAGTAAAGTCATTTTCAACACAAATTCAACCATTTAAGATATAAAAGTTTGCACTAATTAAAAAATCAATTAAAACACCACCATATTCATTACATGTATAGTCAATTATATTTCGACTAGGTATACAGTCAACACCTTCAATAAAGTCATATTCCTCCCCACATCGGCTGTTAAAGTCACCGCATATACAGATAGAACCTTTATTCTGATAGTCATAGAAACAACCCAGAAGTTTATCATAAAATATAGACGCATCGATCTGTCTAGACGAGTTCTTTGGGGGAAGATAGCATACACACATAAATAAATCCTTCCCATTAAATTTATCTTTTAAACATAACCATAAAATACCCTCTTCCTGAACATTTTCAATAGAAATATCAAAAAACTGAAAAAGATCTTTCTTCACTAAAAAGCCTACCCCCCCCCCCCTGAACCTCCCCATGCATTCACATGTAAATTCTGTCTATTGTTACCAAACCATTTATAATTTTATAACAACCAATGACTTTATATAACAATTAATTACCTTCACAGCAATCAGTGACTTCTCATTGACTTTTCGTAACAACCATTGACTACGAAAGAATAATTACTTTTCAATAGCAAGTAGTGGCTTTCATAGCGACAATTGTTTTCTAAAAGTCACCCGTCACTTCTATAGAAACCATTGAATTTCAATAGCAACGAGTGACTTAATAGCAACCATTGCCTTTCTATGCAAACAATGCTCTTCATTGCAACTTTCGACTTTTCAATAACAAACAGTGTAGTCAAGTGAGAAATAAAAGGGTCATCATGACCTTCTTGTTTATCTTATCAAATGTTGCCTTTTCATATGTTGGAACTCAAAACATAGGCCCACACTGACGCTTTATAAAATAATAAAACAAATTGGCCTGAAGATAGCGAAAAAACAACAAAAAAACTTCAAAATAAGACGGTAATGGACAATGGTTTGTACGTAAGGACTTAACTGATAATGGATGTGCGAAGGATAACTGTAGATGGAGAAATGGAGAAAAAAAAAACTGTTTACCAGCTCTTCAATTTGGAGGCCATTATATACCAACCGACAAACAAATCAATTGAAGTACAGTAACTTTTTATGTTTTTTTTATTTAAGTGGACTTGTACACAATATCAAAATAAAGCTAACTCAACAAAACCGAGAGTTTCAAATGTTTTAAGCATTTGTTAGAACGAAATACAGAATCAATTTTTTGTGTTCGTACATGTACTATTGTTTCCAACAGACCGAAAAAGATGCAGTTTGTAAAAAATCGTCGATTTACGGTAAGTTCATGAATGATTACAACGAAAATATAACAGCAGAAATCATATTTTGTCAATTCAAAGTTCAAACAGTGTCTGGTTTAATTAAAATAATGTAAACCAAGCATCTTATCACTAAACTATATACTTTACAAGTTTCCTTCAAAATGTATTTTTTTTAGCTTAAGGTATTCATTTTCCTACAAAAGTCATACAAAAAAGTAGATATTGCTTTTTGGCACACAATTTTACAAACTTGTTTATAAAACAATTACACATGTACATAATTATATATTTATTACTGTAATTCACGATGATAAAAGTAAAGACCATTAAGAAAAGATTCATGAAACACAATACCTAATGTTGAACGTTAAAATGCCATAGTTTAGAAACTGTTGAGTAAATTTGTTTCAGAGTCTTATATGATCAGCCTATTTTAAAACAACACACACTAAACACACACACACACACACACAGTTATATTGAAATTCTATCAATGTACTAACGAATATAATTTTGTAAATTCTTCTGTTGATTGCTCTTTGAACAAAGAACATTGTACGTAGCTATTGATTAAGAAATAATATATCCCAAACAGTGATTTTATCGCTCAATAACATCACTGTTTGGAGTTCGGATACAATGATGCGTATCCGAACGACAAACAGTGATGTTATCAAGCGATAACATAACTGATTTGGATATATATTTTCTCGATTCTAACACGACATCAACAAATAAATGTTGCCCTACTTGATAGTTAAGCAAAATTGTGCCTGATTTATTCACATGTCTAAATATAGAACTGTGCATCTGTTGCATAATAATACACACTTTCTGTTCTTCTTTGTTCAATAGGGAATTGCGGGTCGTGTTAGAATAGATCATATAATTATTGCTTCGATCTATCTTAAAGGAGTTTTTATGAACGTGTTATAGCTCATTGTTACGAACTTTTTATTTATACATACGGTAAGGAGCCCAGTAAGACACCACAGAAGATTCATACTTCTCTACATGCATCTTCATTGTCCATGATAACCCAGTATTGCCCTTGTAATCTCATACTTGTTTTAGTTAGGCGGAAGAATATAGTAAGCTTATACAATATCCATTATTATAAACCCTGGCGCAGGTGTGTAATAAAGCCATTTAATAAAAACGATATTACACTAATGTAATAACACTTTGACGTGACGTCATTTGCGCTATATAGAAACATGGCGTTAAAGCGCGCTAATGTTAGCGTTACACTATATGCGCGTCATTGAAAAATTACTCATTTTAACAGTTTACTGTTATTATTTTATATATGTGATAAATAGAATATTATATTCGTGTAGATTTAATACTAAATTTATTGAACAAGTTGAATAAAACAATATTATGCTCGCCAGAGGCTCGCATAATATGATTTTATTCAGCTTGTTCAATAAATTTAGTATTAAACTACACTCATTCAATATCCTCTATTTACACACTTCATTGATTAATTTTGTAAGTTAAGTTATTAAAAGACTTATAATGAGTTTAAATTCTAGTTATTATTTTAATTACTTTTCTTATCGGTCATAGCAAATGTCAAATATATGTTAAAATATTTTTTGTGTTTTATTTTTTGTAGCATGCTCATTAATTGAATATCATTTTTAAGATTATTATAAGGAATGAAGAACACATTTATCTTACGCATTTTACTTTCAAGTACGGATATCCCTAACTCGACATAGTATTGCCTTTTTATGAACACTTTATAGCTCCTTAAAAACGTATGATTAAGGTCAAACATTAAGCGGTCAATTTACTGTTTATATCATTTTTTGAGCGGCAAATGAGGTGATAAGTGGGGTCAAGTGGCACTTCTAAAAAGCAAGCTTGCTTTTTAAGTTTGAGGTCAATGACAAGAGTAGAATTGTTTTGAAGCAAATATCATACCATAATTTATTTGTTAACGAAGAATCGTGCCAATCAGATCAGCATTTAAAAAAATGGAATTCAGATTACAAGTTATTATCCTATCTTTCACTCTTGTAGTATCGCTAGTATTAGGTTATCCGGGCAATTCAAAAAGCCAAGATGAGGATGAAAGAAAGGGTTTTCAACGACGCATGATTCAAGAACAAAGACGTTTCTTGAATGGTAAATTTGCAGAAGTGTTGGATACCATTGATTCTACATTAGGTAGCAAGCTAGAACACATCACAGATGTTGTCGAGTCCATAGAGAGGAGGCAAAGTAAGTTTTAGTTCAATACTTTTATATTGCCAAATATGTTTACGTGCAAAGTGAAAACATATTGCACAATACTTTGCACCAAAATTAATAAAATGGTGAGAAAACTCCAATTGGTAATTTAAGAAAAAATTTAAGAAATGATATTGTTTTAATCATTTGTGTAGCAAAATGATTTATTAAGCTTTTAAATATAAAGGACAAGGTTAACAAAATAAAAAGAAACAAAACTCTTGCTGCAGTATGTACTTTCTAAAATATATTAAAAGATACATTTTTGAAGGCACAAATTAAAATCGTTAATCACGATGGATAAACGTTATGATCAATAATGAATTTTTTTTTCAATAAACTGATGTCTACGTTCCCCTTTCAAATAAAACAAAAAAAAACATGTTCAAGCCGTCGCACATTGAGAATAAATAGTTACTAATTATAACTGTATTTAGAATATAAGAGATAAGTTAAATCTTCCCTCTTCTTTATGAATATATAGTCGACAATAAGATATTAAATGAATCATACATTAATGTTTTCAGTTTGTTGATCCAATATTCATTCTGACCGCCATGTTTATTCTTAATGTTTGACTAATGAGTGAACGTTTAAACGTATAATTAGAAAATACAAGTTACAATGATTGTGTATGAATAATACCTTAAAGGGATACTCAGGCAAAATGACAAAAATAAAACAATCTTACGTACTCAAATCACGCTAAAATGGCATTTCTTTCTTAAAGTCCCAGCACAATTGTTTTTATTAATTCTAAATATTTTGGTTTTGAAGCGTAAATATATCTATGAATGTTGAACGAAATTTAGACGCCGAAAGAATCACCGAATAGTTTTAAAACAAGCCATGTGACTTGAACAAACCCTTGAAGTTACAAAAACAGATATAGTGGTTATTGTATAATTGAAACAAGTCTAAGTCATTCATTTGACATGTTCTTTAACGTTTCCAGAGTTCACTTGGACAACTTTTGTAAAGTCTTAGCGCTCTAACCGGACCAACGCGGGTCAAGTTAGGAAACCACCATTGTATTCTTCATATGGATAAAAGTTTTTTTAAATAAAGATATTATCCTGAAAAAGGTTTTGGCATGCATTTTTTAAATATACTTGACAAAATTCTAAATCCCCTGGTGCGATTACCCGAATCGATAATGGCCATTTTTATTGCATCTTTTTCATTAAACAGTTCAATAGTGAAGCCTTTTAAAGACACATTAGTTTTAATGATAGCAGTGTGTTTGAGAGTTCAAATCATTTATTTGTAGCATGTGTTTACATTTCAGAGCTGAAAGAGTTTTGCACAGATGGAATATGCGGTGATAATGGGACATGCTCACTGTCGGAGGATGAAGAAACTTATGAATGTCATTGTGATGACACACATGCTGGGGAACACTGTGAGAGTAAGTTTTCATCCGATATGTGCAAGATATTTTCTCTATTAAAAAAGAAGAAAATAGAGTATGGAATGATATTTACCGCAAATACTTTTTTGCGGTAAAACTAGTAGTCAACAGATATGTTGCAAGGTCGGTATTGAGTAAAAATGACAAATAGAATAATGTACCTCGACATATCTTCAGTAAAACTTTTGATATGGTAATATTTTTATATGTAATTATTTTTTCCAGTTACGGGAATATGTAATGTTGACTTGTTCCACGCCCAGCAGGAGCCGTTGATGCTTGGCAGAGAGTTCCCGAGGTGTGATGAAGATGGAAGCTTCGCTGGCATGCAGTACCAAGGATCAATGTAAGACAATGAGAGGCATATTTCGCGTAGACATAGTTGATTATTCCAATGTATAAAGATTAATCAAGATTTTCTCTAAATACAGAGTTTATTTTCATCGAGTGGTATGAAAACAGATACTTCATGTGTGGCGGTAGAAAAAAAATCTCTTTATTAATTACGTTTTTTGTTGATTTTTTTTTATTTTGACATTACAATTTGAATTTCCGTTTAATTGTGTACTGACTGAGTTAAGAAGAAAGAAGTCCGGCAAGACACAAGTGCAAATACATAAAAACATGTTTCACTTCAAGAAAAATAATTTTTACAGTGAAAATAGGGAAAATGAAAATACGCATTTTATTTCATCAATATTTCTAAATATTTCATTCATACAGTATATACAAAAAATAGCATATTGTCGTTGTAGCACATTAGTTATGAGTGTGTATGGCATAATGTAGAAGCAACAACAATTATTTCTTTGACATACAGTTCTATCAGATATTAATCGTTTGTTTTAGGGCATATTGTGTAACATCTGATAGAATAGAACTTAACTATAGTGTTCAAAGATGGGAAACTGGTGACAATATGAATTGTCGTAAGTATTTGTAGAGATATTAAGTCAAACAAATATGTCAGATTTTTAACATAAAAACTAGATAATAATATTTAACAGTGTATACAGCTATTTATCTGCTGTCTGCTATTAACATTTCTTTTTTAAATTTTGAATACTGAAAATTCATAGTTCCTTGTATGTATGTGTCCTCAAAAAAAGACTGAAGCATTTCTAATGGTTCAAATGCTTCTTATAAATAGGAGTACAATATTTGGTTTCCTTGTTCGTGACTCGGCCATATCATTGTGGAAACAACATATATTTTAACTGTTCATAAATATCACAAAAATGTTTCATTATTATATATCGCTTTATACCCTTAAATGTCTTGAAGATAGTCTAAATATATAGATATACATACTAAGTATTAAGAACATCTCATTTATGTCAAATGAAACTCCTACATACCTGTGAGATAATTTGGAATAGCTTAAGTTTATTTGTGAGCATACATTTGAGTTAAATACACGCATTGTACAATTAATGTGTAGCTTTATTCTGACAGTTTTTATTCATTCGTTTTCAGCCTTTTCCCCGCTATATCTATTTTAAAGATGCATGCCTTCAGACGAGTAAAAATATTTCAATAAAATTAAACCCAAGTAATATGTACTGAGATTTAAGGAAAAGTAAAACTATTCAAAATTCATGTACTATTTCACATTATATAATTATACGAAATGACTGAGTGAAATGACTGATAAAATTAAACTTAAGTACTATGTACTGAGATTTTAGGAAAAGTGAAAATATTCAAAATTCAAGTAATATTTTTCATGGTATGTGCGAAATGACTAATTTTTCAGTAGTTAAAACTTTATTTCTACTGCGTTACGAACGTAGTTAGGGATATATATGCATATTTGACCACTTTTTCGGTAATTTACGTGGGTTGTAAGTGCCATTGTTTATGTGTAAATTGATTGCTTCTTTTTTGGTTATTTCAATATATCATACATTCATATACACTTTCAAAATTTTCATGAAAAGTAGCATGAATCTGGAGACGTCCTGCTTTAAAGCAGCACTCCTCCAGACTCATGCTAATTTCCATGAAAATTTGAAAATGTATTTAACAGTATAATATTGTAAAATTACCAAGAGAATGCAATTTACACATTATCAATGGCTCTTACAAACTATGACCATTACTATAAAGAGGTCAAATTATGCAAAAATAGCCCTTACTGCGTTAGTAACGCAATAGCAATATAGTTATAAATACTGAAAATTCGGTCATTGATCGCACAACAGCTGTTGTAAATTTTTACTAGAATTTGAATATTTATATCTTTCCTAAAATCTTATTGAATTTTGCTCAGGTTTGATTTTATCGAAATATTTTTGCTCATCTGAAGGGGTGCAGCTTTAATGGAGAGATAAGTTTTGTCTCTGCATGTTCCATAATGATTTAACTATGCATCAATATTTTGATATTTTTAAGAATGTGCCCGTGATGAGCATGCTAATACAGAAGAGGGAAAGGTCTTCAAATGTCAACCTAATGGAAACTACCCTGCTGTTGCCTGTGGCGACGAGAAATGTTGGTGCCAAGACTCGATGGGTCAAAAGTATGGGGACGCCATAGATTTAGGGGACCTTGACAGCCCCCTGGAATGCTCATAATCAAAACCTTTATGAATGAATAACCTCCGAATTCAACTGTTTTACTATAAAATTCATCAATATTCGAAATTGTACACTAGTATATGATGGTTTTCTTTAATGATGGTCATATTTTCTAATTACTTTGTTCCTGTATTGAAATAATTATCAATTTTGTAACCTTTTAAAGCTATTTGTGAATTTAAACTAAATAATCTGTTCAACATTGTTATTTTAGCGAATACATTGTTATGAAGATCTTATATTATATGTTTTCAACCTTGCTTTATAGTTTTAGTTGTACCACATGTTGTGAGAATTAAATTACATTCTATATACTTGGCTCTTTGTTGTTTTCATCGTGTATGTTTAGTATACATCAATCGTTAAATCTACAGAAAATAGAAATTCCTAAATAAAAGAAGAAACGTTTCAGATTATTATATGAATTCATAGCAAAATCACAATTAAGTCAATTAATAATACATTATCATATTTAAAGCGATTTTGTGTATTTCCCAGATTTAGTACATGTAGAATTAACAAATTTTTCAATAAAATACTTTTACAACCGAAAGTACCAACGAAAAGCTTAGCTGGATAGATTGCTGAAACTTGCCGAATACATGAACTGATAATTATAAACAAATTGAAGCTTTTGTATTAGTTTGTGTATTTTGTATTATTATATCATATCTGTGGAATATTTTTTATAATTATAATACCATAATAAAATTTACATAACAGATTATCATTAACATTATTTTGAAAGTGTCATCTGATAAAAAAAACAGTGAATAAAATGTAACTTTAATAATTTTAATCATACCCGAGTTTTTTTATCTTTATGGTTCCCTTAAATGTTCCTTGTCTTCAAGTGTATGTTTAGCTATTATTTCTAACAACTACTTTAATTATCTAGCATTCTAAACTTCTAAACTGTTTTTTTTTCCCTTTAGTTTTTGCATTACATGCATTTAAAGAAATTGTATAAATAAAAGCGGATTAGTCTGCAATTGGCACATTTTCCAAAAAATATTTTTAAACATTAACTGAGTGACTTGCCAAATTTACTAAAAATGTCATATTTTTAGTAACATGCTACCGCCGTAGTCGGACTCACTACATATGTATATGAGATTACCGACGTTTATTTATTCAGGGTTTTTTTTTCGCTGCAGCATTTTGATATCTAGCACAAAAATGTATATTAATCATAAAAGTTTACTTAAATATTCTCAATTGCATCCTGAATTTTATATATTTCGTCTTTAACTTCTACATTATCATAAACATAATGAAGAACCCTAAGGTAAAACATACACAAAAAAGAAATAGTATCAGCTATTGTTAACAACTGAGAATACTTAAATAACAATATAAATCATCAAAGACACGTTCAGTTTAATCTGAAGCTAAAAAAACCAAACCCTCGATAGAAAATGTTTAGAAATTATACCAGTTATTCAGGGAGGTAATGTGTTGTAATTATCTGATAAGAATAGTAAACTAGGTGATCTCCCTTTTTGTCATTTAAACAGGTCACAACTGTGCGTTTGACCTATTTTCATATTTTAATTTTATCAAGTTATTAGTTCATTCATAAACGTAACATATTTATGATAGTATACTTCATCCAAAAAAAACTAAATGTACGGTATAGTTTCTTAAAATTTAGTTGAAACACCATAACCCATATGAATATTTACACACAAAATACTTGTATTTTTCTTTTTATACTGACATGTTTACAACAAATGGCAATATTTGCACTAAAAGTGACCAATCATATAGCTTCGGGGATATACATCAGGGCAGATTGAGACAGTATTTCTGTTAAACATTGGCTGTAATCCGTTGTGAGACGTTAGAAGTGTTTTCATCATCGGGTAATTACTATTCTGTCATACAGTCAGACAGTGTGTTTACAAATCTGAAATTGAGAAACCCGGCTCTTATTCACAACAATACTATAACCATTTTGTTGAAATTTTTGTGTAAAATGAGGTGTCAAAAATTATGAATTGAGTAATATCAAAATCTAGAAAAAAAATGAGCTAGGACACTAAACATTATGTTATGGTTTGGTTGAAATTCTTTGACATTTATAATTCGCACACAAAATGGTATTGCTTAATAAAGCATTTTATAAAACAAATGGTAAATATTCAGAAAAGAAAAGGAAAAAAAATCAATTACGCCATCGCATTACTCTTGAATAAGAGTTGTGCGTCTTTTATACGCTTCCTACATGTAGTAAATAATAAGTTTTATTTTTTAGCCTCATTACCTTAATTCACAACTATTATCGTCATCATCATCATCGTCATCATAATTATTAATATGACCAGTTGTTTATTGTTTTATTGTTACAGCATATAAATTATAGTTACCGTTACAAATAGTCACTAAATGCCAATCTCTTAATGGTCACATGTGTCAAATGATTGTTATTTTGGTTTTTTTGTTGTTGTTGTTGTTTTCCATTTGTTCTTCTATCGATGACATTGTTTTACCAAGTGGGGTCGTTGTGTTAAGCTAGGTCAAGTGGTACTACAAATGAAAGAAAAAAAGCTTGTCTTATAAACAGGCCAATGACAACAGTGTTTCAGTCCTTATATACAGTGAACCCTATCACAATTTTACAAAGCTGATTATGGCAATTTTAAATCAATATTTTATTAGACTGAGATGGACTTCTTCAAACTGCAATCTTTTGCCTGAATGTCGACTGTAGCCGACAATAAAGAAATTCAAGAAACCCGGCTAAAGACAAAGACAGTGGTATCCACCACGACACATTTTATGCTATTGGTTTATGGGTGTATTCAAGTTTTGTAACAGTATATTAAGAAAATACTTCATATTAAGAATTCTGATTGCTTTTTAGCCCAGGAAATTATTTTTGAATATGGTTATTGTATGTGTTTATTCTAAAAAAAAAATAATAATAGTTTCGTTTTTCTTTTCATATTTTAACAATAAATCTTTTACATCATGACACGCTTGGACCCTTTTTCAAAACAACTAGGTATGAGACTTTGAGAATATAAAGATAGTACTTTAAATCATCAGTTGAACCTTAGTATGGAGTATAGTAGGCGCCATAATCAGTCAAGGCAAGGGAGACAATGCAGCAAAGTGCGAGCACATGGTTAATTACTGGTATTGTAGAATTACAATTTGCCCAGAATGACTGTATGCTTGTGCTTGGTCATGCATAAAAATAAATAAATTTGATTGGTTGATAGAATTATGCACTTTGTTCAAAAAGCTGAGTATATACATGTATTATATAAGCCGCGTCACGACAAAACCAACGTAATGCGTTTGCGACGAGCATGGATCCAGACCAGCCTGCGCATCCGCGCAGTCTAATCAGGATCCATGCTGTTCGTTTATCAACCCTTTTACAAGTTGAGAAACTGATAGCGAACAGCATGAATCCTGATCAGACTGCGCAGATGCGCAGGCTGGTCTGGATCCAGACTTGTCGAAAATCCATTATGTTGGTTTTGTCGTGACGCGGCTCAATTATATGACTTTTAAATGTTTTCTATACATCTAATGCTTGTCAAGGGGTAGCTATGACAATTAGAAATAACGATATGCAATTAGTGACATTGATAACACCGGTGAAATTTCGTATGTCGTAGAAATGCAAGTAAAATAAAGTTAAACATGTCTTGATAAAGTGAGTTGATTCATAAATCTTTTTTTATCAAACACAGACGAAAGCATTTATTTGTTAAGGATTTAAATTATGAGCACCAAATTACATTTTGATATATCTCTTAAGAACCGAGTCTTCACTTATTAGTTTGAAACCTTGATTTCAGTTTTTGAACTAAGAATGACTCACTACATGTTCAGCAACATATAAAGATAAAAAAAGAACACCAAAGCTTGCCTTTATAGACCGTGATATAAACTTATAAATGTATATATTAAGTGCAAATACAAAGGCTTTTGTTCCAAATTTAACAGTGGATTTACTGATAAAAATAAATTCTTTGATATATGTCGTCCTTTGTATCAGATCAAAGAATAAATTGAAACCAATATGTCAGGCCATTCATCAAACGTTATCGGAACATTATTATGAGGTCATTCCTTTATATTTTAGCATGTGTTTTTCTCTATCAGTGTGTGGTATGTCTCCCACATGATATACTTGACCTAAGTACTTGTGTACTTTAATTTAGTTTATTTATTATATGATAAGACAACCTAAGTAAATTACTTTGTTTGTGTACGCACACACATCGTTTGAGTATGAATGCGTTTTTTTGATAACAAACTAGGAAGAAGTTAAGTATAATTGAAATATTGTAAAATCGCTGAATACAACATTTCGGAACAAATAATGTTTTGTGTGCGTTGAACGTTTCCTCGAGTGTATGGACAGATTTGTAGCTTTTTTATGTTTTTTGATATCAAAATAATCTTTTTAGCGTTAATCAAAATGCTATTCATGATATGTGTCAATATCGAATAAAAATTGATGTATAAAATATGTATCGACTTCACAAACAGATGTTATCATTTTTATCTATTTTGAAGAAATTAGACATAAATAAAACAACCGTTTGATTTTTCATCAAAGGTATGCAAATAATTGTTAAAGTTCAGTATCATATATCAGGGAAGACTTTAGTGTCAAACATTTAGGTCATTTCAGTGTGTGATTTTGGGCCAACCTTTTTATAATGGTGTATTTGTAAATTACATATTACTATTTGGTATACTATTTTATAGGGTTAACGCACGTTTTTCCGTGTTATAACGTCTGCAGAGCCACGATGAACGGTTGATGCCCGAGCCCGGTAGGGCGAGGGCTCCAACAGTTCTGAGGGACTCTGCAGACTTTATAACACGAAATAAACGTGCGTTGACGCTATTATATCATAGAATTTTAAAACAGATTCGTGCTGTATAGTTAATACAAAACACAAAAACATTAAATTCTTGTGCTTGGACCGTATTTATCCAATTCTACATGTTTTACGTATGCGTTTTATTTCTTCGGGGCCAACAACTTGGAAAATTCTCAGAACCGAACGAAATTTTGAATTATAATTGATGTAACACAACTTGACATTGGAGAGTTATTATCTGAAGAAAAAAAAAAAAAAAACAACGTTACATTACTCTACCCAAAACATGACCCTCAGAAATTCTTAGAATGATTTCAGATTAACGGTAGAAAAAAGATCAGTGTCAGTGACATCATAATCGTTTTTTTTTTTTTTTCAAGCAAACAAGTTTATAAAAAAAAATCAGGCACTAAGCATTATTCTCTCAAA